GTTACAGTCCCTTTAACGTTACTCTTTCATGAAAATTGTTCGCGAATATGAGACGTAACAATATACATCGAAGCACTTTTATGGTGGTAAAATTTTCTGTTTGAATAAAGTATTCTGAGCTTTGTTAAGAACCTAGAATGTCAAATAATGAAACACCCATTTAGACAGGAAAACAGGTTTTGTACAGGTATTCCATAAAAACAATAGCCAATCAAGAACAGTCTTCATAAACATCAATTAAGCATGTGTGAAAAATTTTATCGATACATGTGCTTTTATAACTCCATTCAACGATAAATTCATAATTATGAACATGTAAATATGAGTCACAATACGTCTTTTCCTAACCATATAAAATCTGTATTCTGGAGAGACTTATTTTGCTAGTCGCAGAGTGGTGTACCCGGAGACCTCCCGATAGTCTCAGGTGACCGGTTTATTTAACCCATAGGAGAAATTTCTTAAACGTTAAAAAAAACTAGAAATATGTCCATACGACATGAATGCCCCGCCGAGGGTATATTAGTAAAGCAACATTAAAATTTGCATGTGTACAAAATTTGAACAAAATATCTTGAATAGTGATGCAGTTGAATTGCTTACATTAGTATGTATCAGCAAATGAAGTTTGATACTAAAATTCGTAAAAGTGAGGTCAAGGTCAAAGGAAATGCCAAGGCCAAATTCAGTTGAAAAGTTCTCATCAGTAACTATCAGCATATGAAGTTGAAAAAAAATATCATAAATGGTTTCTTTAAAACTGACTTTAACACAATGGATAAAAGTGAGGCTAAAATGAAATGAAAGGTAAAAATTGATAATACACTTGAAATGCTTACCTCCATATCAATCAGCTTATGACGTTTGACACTAATTTAGGAAAAGTGAGGTCAATGTCAAATTAAAGGTCAAGGACAAAAATTGTGACGCAGTTGCATATCTCTCATCAATATGTATCAACATAATAAGAATATCTAGAAAGATGTCTTTAATTAAAACTGATTTAAACACAATTTGATAAAAAAAAAAGGTCAAGGTCAAATAAATGGTGAAGGTCAAAATTGTTGATGCAGTTGAATTGCTTTCATCAGTGTGTGTCAGCATATGAAGTTTGACACTGATTTAGAAAAAGTGAAAACAAAGGTCAAGGTAAAAAATATTGATGCAGTTGCATATCTCTCGTCAATATGTATCAACATATTAAGTTTTATAAAAATATCTTCAATGATATCTTTAAAACTAAGCGAAACATTGATTAAAGATAAGAGTGGTCAAGGTCATAGGAAATGTCAATGTCTGCGAAGGTGAATAAATACATTAGTATGTCTCTATTTACATGTAACTAATGCATAAGCATACGTTTTGCTTTGTAGAAACAGCGAAAATAGCTCAAAATACATACAGTTTTATTGCGTGATTGGTTTAACAAAAGTTAACGAAATTTGAATATCTAAAAATAATTTTGAAATAATTTTGGTCAATTTTATCAAAAACTATAAATTTACAGTTTTTTTTTATATATTGAAAATAATGGCATGTAGCAAAGAAGATGCATTTGTGAAACACTATCTGCCCGGCGGTAACAAATTCGAGAAAGGTATTTTTAGCATAAAAATCACATTCAAGGTTACAAAGTCATTGACATTGTTTCATGTGAAAGAGTTTAATTAGTGGAGTATACATACCAAATATGAAGTCTCTATCTTTCATAGTTCAAAATTTATGGTGAAGATTAAAATTGACAACAGACAGACAAACATAAACAGAAATGAATAATTGTGTGTTAATGATCCCGAAATATTTTCATAATATTTATGGTGACTGTTTATCATAGATTTTCATAGTACAGTGTTATGAGCTCATAAAAATGTATATATGCTAATAATAAAAGCCTGCCTCTCAAATTCTTAAAATGAATTAAACTTACCGGTGGATTTTTTAGCAAAGTAGGTTAAATGTCAAGTGAAGTGCAACGCTGGTATTTTGCATGTTTTATGACAATCAGTGCACATCCTCTGTAACATAGATTTACCTGTTCAATGTCAAAAATATACTGTACATATATATTGGTATTTTAACTGTTTTGTAAAGTAGGTCAAAGGCCAAGGGTCACGAGGTCGGTAACCATGTCAATGCACAAATACAATAGCTCCAAGCAACATTTATGCACAATACCATGTGAATATCTCTTACAAAGTTGGATAGACAGACAGACTTTGGGTAAATTGGTCCTTAAGTGCCGCTCTGCTTTGCAGGCGCAATAACTTCGAACTCAAGGCAATGTAATCACAATACTTGATAATATGCTGTAATTTCTTAGGAAGACAATATCAAATTTTCAGGGTATGTTTTCTCTCCAAATGTTTATGCAGTATACCCGCAACTTACCTTGAGTATTTCTCTTAATCGCTTTGAACATCTTAAGTAAAAACCCTGTCACATTTGACTGTATTATGTTTCTTGATTTTCAAAGAAATATTTTAAGCCAATAAAGACCGAAAGAATTGAAAAGCCAAGAGAATATGAAAGAGAAAAATCTTTTTTCATAGACATATTTTGTTTTTCTGATGTATACTTACTATCCCTATCTTCATTTTTTAAATTCAATATAAAAGTTTATAATAGTTTATAAGTTTATAAAGTTTATAATAAAATATTTCTTTTCGTATAATTTACCATAATGTAACAGTGTATATTCCGATAACTTCATTTCACCAAACCATTATTTATAAACTTAAGGATCATTGAAATAGCTCGTTTCTTGAGTTTGTGAAATCTGTAGGCACCTTTCAAATCTTTTTATTGACGTTCACATCGTTTACTTTTAATGGACCTTACAGGTTTTATTTTAATAGAGCAGGGCATAAAATCTAAAGGAAAAAATTATCAATGGTGACAAGGAAAATAAGTCTAGTTACATGCATATTGGAAATTACCTTTGTATGTCCAGGAATGAAACAGTGACCCTTCTGGGTTATGGCGATCAGCATCACAATTCCGAACCTGTAGATGAAGGTGTTAAGACATGTCAATAACCACGATATAAAACGCTCTCCTTGACAGGTAAACCTGGTGACATGCGTAATAAGCCACTTGTCCTGCTAAGTCTGTCATACTGATCAGCTTTTTATCACGGCTACTGTGATGGAGAATATCTTTGATAACCATTTTCTCTTTTTCAGTTTAACGGAAATCTAATACGATATGAAAAATAGAAAACAAATTATATGAAATAGTACACATGCAGTCACTCATATTTAAGAACAAATACAGTGAAATTTGTTCTTATGCACCTTTAATAGAATGTCAGCAGGGAACAAATATGAATTATGATAATAAAATTATAGGAAATTATACATTCGTAAGCACATTTTGAATATCTTCGAAAGTTTACATTATTCAACAAGGGGCAATGTTATTGGCCAACAATCTAAACCTCATTAAAATAAAATATGAAAGCATATTAATGTTATCCATATAATTTTTATGTCAACAAAGCATATCATGTCAAGTCAAGATAAATAACTCGTCAAGTCATGATAACTTTCTGGTTTGTCGGCAAACACCGACTTTAAATGTATATCTTGTCAAGTCAAAATAAACTATCGTTTTTTGTTGCAATAGCTATCTTGACATGACGAGATAACTTTTATAGTCGCAATACAAGATAAATTATCTCTTTTTGTCAAGATATGTACAGAGATCTTTATTGTTAAATAGATACAAAGATCTTTATTGTTACAGTTCGAGCTTAATTTCATTTGTATCTTATAACAAAACCTTTATTTGAATATTACCTACGTTTATTTCTTTTATTGAAAAAGTTACTAACATGTCCTTTATTAAAAAGAAACATGTTGCAGTTATTTCAAGAATGAGTTTAACAGCTTCTATGTTATACAGTATCGCTTGGGTAGCTTTTATGATTATGATTGTTTACTGTTTAATGCCCCTCTCCAGAGTATTTCACTGATATGAAGACATCACCATTGCCGATGAAGGGCTGCAAATTTAGGATTTTGCTCGGCACTTACGGCCTTTGAGCAGGGAAGAATCTTTATCGTGCCACACCTGCTTTCGACACGGGGCCTCGGTTTATCCGAAGAACCACCTCATTTAGTCGCCTTTAAGGACAAGCAAGGGGGTACTGAGGACCTATTCTAACCCGGATCCCCACGGGGCTTGGTAGCTTTAAAATTCGTTCCTTAAAATTCTACTTTCTACCATTATGTGGAGGGGAAATATACGCCTTTATATCAAATATATTATTTAATTGTACAAAATTTAAATGTAACGTTAACTGAATTGATAAGTTTTGATGCAAGTGATTGTTAGCAAGTCATTGATATGTATGCAGGTTATACAGTATTAACTACAAATACAGTCAAAAAGTAAGTTTCAACCACAACTAAATTGTTTAAAATGATACATGTTATCTTTATATTTTACTGGTTACATTATCTTTATTGGTGCTAAAATTATACAAATATGCTTTATAAATGTTAGATCCATATACACAATTGAAATGTGCTGCAGCTAACTAGACTTCACTCATCACTCATTCAGGGTATGGGCGGCGGCCACATAGTCTAAAGACTGGGGATACATCTGGTGGTACATCTGGAGCTAGGGCTGCATCTGTGTCACTGTGAGGTCATTTGGTCATTGAGCAGGCACTGACGTTGGTCTGATCAGAACCATCGAGGGGGAAGCTTTCATGTCAGCCATAACATGGCTGCTGACTTTCCGTATTGTCCTGATTGTTGACGATAGCGATCGAAAACCTTGCTTAAGTTGTCGAACAAGATATTGAAAGGCTTAAAACATACAATAAACCCATGCTTGCTTCTCGTCGCATCTGTGAGTCATCACTATGTCCACCTTTGCCGTCTGGTCGACAGTCTGCATGCTTGTTTTCTCCTGCAGGTCAATGATTGCTTCTTTCTGACTGCAAGAGTGCATCTATTTCAGCCATTCTTCTTTTCTGGGCCTTGCCCAGGATGGTTTGCTGGGATATAAACGAGAGCCGGATGTCTGCCACTGAAAAGAAACAAATGAAAAAATTGGTTATTATTGACAATTAAAAGGATTTACGCATCCGTCAAATGTATAGCTGCTATCTTAACTTTCCTGAATCAGGCGATTACATTTCTTGGAGTATGTAAAGTCATTCAGACTTTTATATTCCAGGGGTTGGGGGAGGATTGCATGCTAATACGGAACTGGCTCTCATATACCCTAGATTATGTCAAAAACACAATTCACTAAGTTCCATTTTTGCGCCGACCCCCCCCCCCCCTTGAAAGTTGGAGATATTACTGTAAAAGCACAAGCTTTCGTGGGGATAAAATTTCGTTGATTTGTCATCAAAAAAAGTTTCGTAGGCATTTAATTTCGTTGTTTTGAGAGTTAGCCTATTCAATATATAGTTATATAAAATTTCGTGTGGGATTTAATTTCGTCGTTAATTGTTAACAACGAAATAAACGAAATTGAATCCCCAACGAATATTTGTGCTTCTTACAGTAATTTTGGTCTGCCCGTTCGTACTTATAATTCTGTATGTCTGTTACTCTTTTCTTTCAAGCAGAATCTCGAGAAGCATTTGAGCTTTTACAGTAAAATTAAATAAAATATATTTTGGTTTCGAATGTAAAGGGGGGAGGGGGTCCTGTCCACTAACACCCGTAAGATTACAATGAAGAATTTAATATACATGTTTGTCAAAAGAAGCTTTAACAACTGACAAATTACGAACGGACATCTCCCTGGATTTATAATATTGCAACAATAATAATTCTGTTTTAAAGCCATGCATGTAATAATTTTAATTTTCGCACCATATAGTATTTTGAACAAGAATTTATATTCATATGAAGCAGATTTTATGCAAAATCTTTTGCGTGAAAAGAAGGAAACACTTGCTGTGGCCTTCAACTCGACATTTAGAGAAATCGACGATGTATTGTCAATTAATAATGATAATTTCCATTCTTACGTCGACACGATATATCCTGGTGAGCTTGAAATAAAAGATACCACAGAGTCCGACACTTCTGCTTCATACTTTGATATTTTACTTGAAAAAGACACTAATGGTAATCTTACAACCAAGCTGTATGATTAACGTGATGACTTTAACTTTTCTATCGTCAAATTCCCTTACTTATGCAGCAATATACCTTCATCACCTGCATTCGGAGTATTTATATCTCAGTTGATTCGATACGCAAGAGTATGCTCTACGTATGAACAATTTCTTAAACGAGGTAAATTATTGACAAGCAAGTTGATGAAACAAGAATATCAACAGTCTCGTTTAAAGTCATCATTTCGTAAATTCTATGGTCAATACAATGACCTTGTCAGCAAATACAATTTATCATTGAATGAAATGCTGACTGACGTTTTTCATACCAATTGTTAGTCCATTATTTATACACTGAATTGACCACGGATTTTTTCCGTTATTTCCTGATTATGACAGCGAGCACACGGCGGGTGTGACCGGTCGGCAGGGGATGCTCACTCCTCCATGGCACCTGATCCCACCTCTGATGTTTCGGAGGTCCGTGTTTGCTCTGCTCTTATTTTGTATATTTGTTTAATGGACGTTGAGATTGAATACTGTTCGTTATTTCCATATCCTTCATTTAAAGTTTTGCAATTTAGTTTAGAACAAAACTCCTTATTGTCCCGACCGCCCTTTGTAAAGTACCTCCACCCCCTCCCTTCGAACCTCCTAGATCCGCACCTACTATTATTTTTTATTTCATGCCACAGAATGACATTTTAAAATGTTCCTTTCATTTCCCTTCTCGAGCCCCTTTGCTTGTTTAAATGTCTATTGAAATATTTTGTAGCGTCTCGGTAGCAACTACGACAAGACGCGGTTTCGAGGTATCTTGTGGTGATTTTATCTATCAAAATCCAATAAAATTGAAGAATTCAGTAATGCAACCGTGAATACATTAGACTACAATTACTGATCCCCGTTTTTTGTTACGTTCGTTCGTAAGATGTCGATGTTTCTCTAAGTAGACAGTGATTCCTTAAATAACACTAGAAACATTGATCCGCTCCTTCAAATTTTGCATGAAAGATGTAGACTGTGACATAAATAAGAAGCTTGTCTGAGTTTCCGGAGACAGTGTAGTGTTACGTTGAAAACATAGACCCAGTGCAATTTTCAATGAAATACATTGTATAGTAATTTTCGTCTCTCTTTTAAGATTTCTACTAACCAAGAGCCTTTCATGTTTTACATGTATGCTATTTATTTATTCGACTTATCACATTGAATCCTGGTAGCAAAGGAATACTGGGAAGGATTTACATGAAAATTTGCTTAACATATGTACAGATTTTAAATTCCAACTGCGATCCAACTGCAACCTCTTCTTACACTCTTTTCTATTTAACTCTCTATAGACTGGCTTTTACAAATTGTGAAGAAAAAAATGTAAATAGCCTTTATTTAATAATCTTACTTCTAAGCTAGGGCAGATCATTCTAACTGCATAAATCAATCGTATAAGTGGAATTCTTCTTCCTTAAGACATATGTCTAACATGTTTTTATTTATTTTATTTATTTATTTTGTCCGTGACACATGAATGTAAACAGCTGTATACCTTTTTATGTCAAAAGAATCATACAAGACTAGTATAACTTTGTTGTGTGATGAGGTGTAAAAGGCCTAGGGTTCAAAGAGGTCGGGGAAACCAACAATTTTCTCCAAGATTGTTAACAAGTCTATCCCGGCAGATATCATATATGAAGATGAACTGGTTTGTTGAACATCCTCTCTGTTGTACATTTATATTGGTTGTATTCACTCACATGAACCATTTATAAACTCAGGTCAACCAAGCGAGCATTTCTGAACAATTTTTTCCCAGCCTGTCTGTATAGTGTGTTTACTTTTCTTTTTTATTCCTGGATATATATTTACTCATAACAATTTCAAGTTACTGCGGAAAAACGAAATTATTTAAAATAAGCTGTTGCTAAGATAGATCTAAGATTCATTCTCTATTTTCAACATATCAGTTACACAGGGTTACAGTGTATCTACACAAAACAGTACTACTTCATTTTGACATATTGCGTGCATTCAAAGAAAAAAATTTGTCCACTAATGTATATTTTTTCTCACCATGGTTAAGCTGGGTTTATATACCCCTATAGAGAAAACATTGCCAATAGTAGAAGCCGGACATTGACTTTGAAACAGAAGACAAGGTAATGAAATTTCTGTTTGAAATCCTTTTCTGAAGTATATTTTCCTTTTAATGGCCATGTTGGGTTCATAACTTCATATTTTGCCCAATGTGTCCCCGTGGGAAAAGGGTTGTAAAGACTTTGAACTTATTTTTGTTAGAGGTCAAAAAACCTCTTTATATATACAATGGTTATCTGAAAAAAATTCATAAGAATACCAACTTATTTCTTTTCACAAAAATTTCAACCTTGGTCATATCTTTTGAATGAGAAGAAATAGAACTATCATATACATGTACCTGTGACAAGATCTTTCTAAATACACTATGATTTTAGACCTTGTGACCTTGGCATTGAAGTTTTAACCACTTTAAAAAAAAATAAACATAACTTTTAATTGCCATAACTTTTGTATTAGAAGATATAGGCTTATCATTTGAAATATGTGTATTACCTGTGAAATGACTTTTCTAAATACAAAATGATTTTTGACCTACTTTCAAGTTTGACCTATTTTCAAAAGCTTTAAACTGCAATACAGCAAAACTCTTTTAGTACGAACACGGATATTGCGAATTTACGGATACAGCAAAGTCATCTTGGATCCCCAGCTATATAAATTTAATGAATTTCTTATACAGTTACATGTATAACGAATAACGGATATAACGAATTAATTTCATTTGTCCCAGTGACTTTGTTTTGCTGTATATCTTTTGAATGGAGAGAAAAAGAGATATCATGAAACATATAGAGATAACTAAGAGTATTTAAGATTTAAAGTCCATAAAAGTCCATAAAACAATAAAAAAAAAATGGAAGCAGAGCAAACCCGGATGTCCAAAACATCATTTACTTTAAAAAAAAATTAAATTTTTCCTTAAAACTTTTGATTGAGAAGAAATGAGGCTTTTATATTTTTTTTTTGACATACCGGTTTGTATTACCTATGACAACACAGTTCCGAAAATGCTATGACTTTTGACCCCTGACTTTAACCTTCACAATTGACTTAATTTTCAAAAACATCAACTTTGATGATAACTTCTGAATGACATATAAAGGTGCTTTCATATTTGACACAAATTGCCATAAAAATGACAGCTCAGCCAGAATGACACCGAAATCGGGGGACCACAATTCTTTGAATTTTGTTGTTTATGGTATGTTGTATCCAATACATAAGCCTTTTCATATTTTATGCAAAACTATTCTCCTAAAAAACTTTTTGAAAGTGATGAAATTTAAATCAAACATGAAGGTTACGAAGAAGGGGTAAAAAATCAGAGCATGCCTAGGAGCATCTTGTTACAGGTAATGCACGTGTCAAATATGAAAACTATCATAATTATTTGTTCTGTTTCAAAGTTATGAGGAAAGATACTGCTTTTATATAGAAGGTAAAAATTTTAGGTCAATGTCACAAGGTAAAAGAAATGTCTTGAGGAAGGTCTTGAAGCAGGTAATACATCTATGAAATATGAAATCAATATCTCCTCTCATTCAAATTTTATGACCAAGATTACAGTTTTAGCAGAGTAGGTTAGACTTCAAGGTCAATGCCACAACAAATTCAATGTCACAGGGTCAAAAATTATAGTATGTTTGAGACGATCTTGCCACAGGTAATGCACATTTGTATTACTAACGACCTTTCCCTTCTTATTCACATTGATGAAGAAGGTTATACTATTTGAAAAGTAGGTTAAATTTAAAGGTCATGTCTTCATGTAAATACATAAATTTTGATTTTTAATTATATTTTCTCTGATGGAAACTTCCTTTTTCAGCTTTTAAGACACCTTTTACTTACTGCCAAGAAAGTTGCAGAGCAGGAAAATCTATCAAATGGATACAGACTAGGTAAAATAACATAGGTAGAAGTATAACATTGTTTATAAACTTTAGCTGATTGAAAACATGTAAATACACAAAAATGCCTTTAACTTTAATACCGACATTGACAACATATGGATACAAAGATTTTTTTAAGCAATTTCATGAGGCTCGTGTCTGCTCAAATATTCATCAATGTCAACCATTTTGTGACTCAAAATTTTTCAATTTTTATCTTTCCCTCAGTAATTAACGATGGACCAGATGGTGCCCAGTCAGTACATCATCTTCACATACATGTTATGGGAGGCAGACAGATGAACTGGCCACCCGGATGATATCTTTAAATGTGGAAATATAAAACATGTTAATAAAATTTTTATTGGGGTTCAATTTTTTATTTATATTTTTTACATGTATACATCTACATGATCTATGTATATACACTCATAAACCCTCTAATATACCATCTTATGTTCGACGGTTGCCATTGTTTATTTTTGTTTGTACATATATTCGTAATTTATTACATATCTGTGTGGGTAAATCTGATTATTGAAAGCTGACATCGATAAAATTTTATGTACATACGTAACTTAAAGGTGCATGTACACATATTTTAAGTTAGTATTTTTGGTGCAGCAGTTATTAAGAAGAGAGTTTTATAAAATATATATAAAAAACATCATTAAATATTCCAATCTTAGATATGGTTCCTTTTCATTGCCCTTTGCGTAATGATGCTATGTACCAACATTTGTAAGGTTTTTTTCTGATTTTTCTGAAGAAGCCGGACATTTTAAAAAAATCACACGACAGACAGAAAAAAATGACGAACAAAGATATAAGGAGGATTTCCACATAATCCTTTCTTTTAAATTACGCCGAGGGGCCATAAAACTACGATCCCAATAGGTGAAATGAGCTGTCGGTACATGTACAAGTTACTTAAAATATTATAAGCCATCATTTAAAATTCAATTTAAAAATATTCTATCTTTCTGAAAACTTAAGGTATGGTTTCTCTTTCCAATTTCCAATATCTAGTAAATTCAGCTGTATCAATGACATGCTGATCTGAAATTGTATGCAATGGGCACATTATTGTACAGTCTTCTTTTGTAAAGTAATTTTTTTCTGGTAAGAAATGTCCTTTGATATCAACAGCAATCATTTTTTCTTCATCTATTCGACACCGGAAGCCTCTTTCAAACTGTATTTTTCTATGAAACGTTCCAGCTAAGTTATTTATTAGGACTTCAATTCTCTCTTGAATCTTGCACGTTTTTGCCCTTTCCAAACCACATCCTGGCATCAGACAGAATACCTGAAGTTGTATAGACTCTTCTGTGACAGATAAAAGAAAAGTGTTTTCCAAACAAGAAAACAAAGCAGCGTTTTTGTAAAGGCAAGATATACCTTGATATGGTATAATATTCCAATCATCTTCCTGCATACAATGAACAATGAGGCGATAAAACAAGAAAAATGGTAAAAAGTTGAATAGATAAATAAGGACTGAAGATTTACTATGCGAATTGTTAATCAGATTTGAAAGATTACACTCCACTTCTTTCCTGTTCATACATGGAACATAGTGGGAATCTGTTCCAAGGGCCAGTAAACCAAGTCTTTGCATAAAACCAAGGAGTGATTTCTTATGACATTGCAGACATCGTTTATCGTTCTTATATCCGTAATTAGTTCCATAAATTTGGCCTTCTTCCTTCAGCTTTTCAAACAACTCTTCATCTTTATGTTTCCAAATTTCGATAAGAACCCGATCTTTCAAATTTCCAGTCTCGTAATATTCATCCCAGTCCCCTTGGATCACAGGAATGCCTCTGAAATGTAGTCTGTCTGTTATTATATGTTTGAAGGCGTCAATAAACCATTGGACGTCAATGATCACTTCCTCATTCAGACCCTCTTCATTAAAATATAAAGCTTTTCCGGCATCATGATAATACCTCAGCATGTCTTGTGTCCCTTTTTCAGCTTTATCTGAATCATCCTGTTCTTTAGTAGTAATCTCTGGTACTTCCGTTGTTATTTCTGGAATCTTCAAGATCCGCTCAAAATGTTTTCTCTGGTTAATTTCTAATCCAAAGAAAGACCATTCTTTTGGAATGCTTTCTCTCCATCGTTGATTAGAAGCTATGTTATAGAAGCAAGTTTCCAGATCATGGATAGGTAAAGTAAATTCTACACAATACACGTTATTGTCTGTGATGTACTGTGGTAAATTAGATGTCTTTGGAAACTGTTGGCGCAAGCTCTCAATCAGTTCATTTGTATCCTGTATTAAAAAAGATATTTCTTAAATAAATTGTACTGTTGATCGCTTTTTTTATTTTCGAGAAAATTACTTTTTTATAAATACGCGAGTCTGTCTGCACATGAAGATTACATACAAATTTGATCAAGATTTAAGTTCTTTAAGAATTTAAAAACAAATTGATAATAATGTGTAAATGAAAAGTTCTTTGGGTAAAATTACTAGCAGCTCACCCTAAACTTTCTGATTTCTTCTTTCCAATGTGTTGCGACAATTAGAACTATGGGTTTTGTATCTATCTGGTTGTCAGAACCACAGTAGGTATGTATAGACTTGATCCAGAACACAAAGTAGTCTGCGATTAAACGATTAAAATATTCATTTTCAAATTGATAAAATCAAAAAATTATTAAAAAAAATAATTTGTAGCTTTTTCAGTGATTTTAAGTCAACTCAATCTTTTTGAGCTTCACAAATAAATCACATTTGTACAGCAATCTAGCAGACAGTAAATATTTCATCAGGATCGTATTTTTTTTGCTCCAATTATATTCATTACCGGTATCTTAGCGAGTTTTCAATACAACAGGTAAGATTCTGTCTTTGTCAAGCGTTTTGTTTCCTTGTAAGCTCATTTTAGTATTTTTATTGCAAATAAAATGAATAAAATATGATGTTGTACAATCTAAAGGATGACAAAGATTGTCTTAGTTATAATAGATTAAGCATTCTTTAATAGAACTCGATGAAAAAGTTTTATGTTCGTTGTATTATAAACGCTGTGGTCCAAAACTTCGTCTGGGATAATGCTTTTACTAGAATACGTTTCCCACTAGCTCTTTAATGTACATATATTAAAAGTAAAACCTTACAAAAGAAACATATATGTAAGGCAAATAGATAAACTAACTTTTAAAGATTTATTGTTTAATATCAAGAAAGCCTTTTTAGCTTATATGATTATATATGCAATATAATTGTGGAGAGTGTGTGCACGAGAATGAAATCACAAAACATTTGATATTCCCACCCACTTAAAAGCATAAAAATCAAAGAAATAGATTTCAATGCATATATAATGTGTCCATAATTAATTTAAAACAAAAATACGCATATAATTTAAACAAAACTATACCCACAACCCAGCCACATTCCTCAAAAAGTCTTGTTTTCATTTATGAAACAACATGTCAGTTGCTCATAAAAGAAGGATTATATGAAATAATTAATGAACTTCCTATAAGTGTACATGTATGCTTGCTTTTTAAGCTACTGTAATTGTTCCATTATTGCATGATTAAATGTAAATAAAACTGATTAAATGCAGAATTTTTTATAATTGAATAAAATAATGAAATTGTTTTAAGGTCAAGCTTAAGCTAAACCGTCCATTACACAATGTTAACTTTAAAACAGAGCAAAACAAGGAACTATAAACGTAGGAGTTGGGATCAGGAGCCATGGAGGAGTGAGCATCCCCTGCAGACTGGTCACACCTGTCGTGTGCTTCTTGTCATGATCGAAAAACCATTTATCACGGAAATCCGTCGGCAATTTAGTACGTTAAAAATGATAGAGTTTTCGTAAAATGCATGGTGAAATGCAATTTTCACTCATTTTTCTGCAGATTACAAAATAAAGAAATTATCTGCTTTCAAAGGAATCAATAAATTTTCTGCTTTCAAAAAAAAATTTTCCCTTAAAAGGTTCACAACGAAAAATAGGAGAATCGAAAAATAAACAGACCAGTCATACACTGCCAATCGTAAATACTACAATGTCTTTTTTTACGATATCTATTGGAAAATTTAACAGATTATATTTAAATTAAACGTTAGAAAGCATATGTTTTTATACCTCCATAGGTCCATCCACAGAATACACTACCATCTTGATCGCACACTTCTTTATCTACCTTCTGGTCAAGACGTTTAGAGGCGTCAACAACCACAACATAGAAAGCTCTCCTGGTCAGGTAAATCTGGTGACAGGCGTAGTACGCACACTGTCCTCCAAAGTCGAAGAATGTCAAGGACTTTGCGTCAACATTTGTAGTATTTACTTGCTCAATGTTATCCTGGCTTTTCTTTGCTGAAAAGAGCCACCACATATCTCACATTCTATAATTTTTTTTTAAATAATATAAAAAATAAATTTTAAAAACAATAAGATGTGTTTTTGACATGTTCTTTTAATTAATAGCACGAAAAACTAAATATATTCTTTTTATTTTAAGCAACCAAGCGCTAAAATTATTTTAAATTAGGAAAAAAATTGATAAAAATAATTGAATTTAATTTTTGAGCATGGTTAAGCATAACGTGCAATTCTATTCAATTCTACTGTCGACAATACTATTTATCATAAAAATATGCATGTATTTATTGTAGTTTGCCATTGTTTAAATATCAGTTTTATGCCCTGTTCACACGGAGAGTTTAATTCGCAGTAAATTAATGCGAAGTAAACTAATGCGAATTAAATTAATGCGAAGTAAATAGCGTTCACACGACGTTAATGCGAAGTAAACTAATTCGCATTAAATTTTTAAGTATTTCCAGGTAAGCAGGTGCGACAAATTTATTAGCTTTTACTAAAACAAAAGAAATATGATATAAACCAATTGGTAAAAGAATATTTTTCTAACACAAAAATTTATTTTCTCTGCTCAGAACAGAAAATAATTAATGGCCGCATCAAACGTAAATATTTGGTTCAAGTATTCATGTATAGATCTGTAAATGAAAGTAAACAAATAAGTTTATTTTATAAATTGAACGATAAAAAAATTAATAATATTCAGAAAATTATGTTGATACATGTAGCAAAATCACGCAGATAGCAAGATTGTATAAAAATTGACGTTAAATTTATTATGACGTCATTAAAAATTAATTACGTCACCTTTTGAATATTTATCAAAATGGAGAAAGCAACACTATGCAAATTTTTCCTTTTCCTTCGCTGTTTTTTCCAAGTCAGTTTACAATTTCATCATAATTTGCTACATCGTCAAAGAAAAGAGAGATATCTCAGACTGAAACAAAGAAGAAAATTAAGGTGGGAACGTCTCATGAGAAATCGCAGACATCGAAGACGATTGATTTTTTTGATTATTGTTTCTATATTGAATATGCGAAATGAATTTCAATTGAAGAGATCAACTTGGAAGTTTGACAGGGAAAGTGATCTGTATACGGATTTTCTGTCGTGGAAGGAGAATGAATTTAAGAGCCACATTAGAGTGCACAAATATACCTTTGATTCCTTGGTCAAGGAACTGGACACGGTTAAATCGAAAGACACAAATATGCGAACTGCAGTTCCACTGCAAAAAAAAAATTTTAATCACTTTGTGGTATCTGAGTTCGCCGATTGATTTTCGTTCTCTGGCAGTAACATTTGCTTGTGGAAAGTCAACTGTGTGGAATATCGTCCATGATGTTGTATTTGCTATAAAAAATATGTGTTCAAGAATTATAAGATTCCCTAGAACTGAGGAGGAAGCTAGTGAAATTGTACATGGTTTAAATTTAGAGGTTTTCCCCAAACAATAGGCGCAATTGATGGTACCCACTTTCAGATTTTGGCACCTTCCGAAAATCCAAATGATTATTATAATCGAAAAGGTTTCTATTCAATAGTTATGCAGGCCGTTTCAGACCATCGCTACAGATTTTTGGACGTTTATATTGGTTGGCCTGGAAAGGCTCATGATGCGAGAATATTCAAACATTCCTCTATATGCAAAAAAATGTCAAATTTTTTACCGCAACTTTCTCTCTTAATTGATACTGTAAACGTACCATTACATCTTATTGGCGACGCTGCTTACCCGTTATCAAATTCCCTTATGACACCTTTTAAAGGAAATCTTGATCCGGTACAAGCACAATATAATTTCAAACACTCAAGCGCGCGCATGGTTATTGAAAATACTTTTGGAAGACTGAAATCTAGATGGAGAAAACTTTCGAAAAGATTTGATGGAAAACTTCCCTTTTTCGTGGATGTTGTCACAGCATGCTGTATTCTAAATAATTTGAGTGAGCTAGACAGTGTACAGGCGATTGACGATTGGACGAGGACTATTCACATGGACCAAAACAGATGCTTGGGAAACGCCCCACAAAATGCTAACATTATCAGAGAGGCTATTGCCGCAAATCTGTAATTTTTAATTTAAGGCTGTGAAAATATCAAAGACAAATATTGCAATATAGAATATTTCTTATAACTTACTACTTTTTTAATTGCTGGTGGTTGTTATATTATGAGAACATGAAAAAAAATGCACAATTAATATTAATTTTTATACTTTTTCTGACTTGTATAGAAGTAAACATATTTCAATTTAGAAAATTGAGCGGAAATAGAACAGAAATTAGCATAAAATTTTCTCGTTTCAAGAAATTTATATTCATATTCTTTATATATAGTTTTATAAAATGTGAGCGCGCAGGTCCGAGGGAAAAAAATAATAGTGGTGGCCTTAGATTGATGTTAAATGAAATGGCAAAGATAATTAAAATGAATGATAAATGCTTTCTAATCTAACAAGAGTTATGCACATATATAAATAAAATTTTTAATATACTTAAATTTAAATCAACTTAATTTTAACACCTACAATATCCAAATGCATAGTTTTATTTCTTAATCAATAAACTTTTCACTTTTATGTGAATGCAGAATTATGTCGAATTTATTAATTCACTCGTATATATCCCCATTTTTCATTTCTTTTGTTTATATTAAATGAGAATTTTTCCAGTCGCCACTTCTAGGGCCTTTCTAACAAGTGGAAAACAACATTGTATACACGCCATGACACCCCCCCCCCCACATCCCGCTTTTTTTTTTCCTTTTTCACAAACTTTGAAAGAAATGGAAGGAGACCTCTTACCTGAGGAGTTTGGAGCTCAACTTAAATGAATATACAGAAATTTAGACGTGCATTATTAAATTTGAAGCAATTCTATATTGAATAAATTTTTTGCGTCCATTTGAAGGTTGTCTTTCGGACGGAAAGGCCCGAGATGATGCGTTTGAGTTATTTCCCTTAAAACTAAATAAAGTATACTCTGTACAGGCCGAGTTATTAACGCCCCGTGTTATTTTTTTTTTTTTGCCCTTTCATACTTGCAAACAATGAAGTCCTACTTTAATTTCGTCCAGTCACGCCTGTTTTAAAGTCCCCCAATCACAGTTTCTGTGATTAAGGCAAAAGGGATAAAAATAAAAGGGGGCGAAAATTTCCCTGCACGTGTACCATATATATATGATATCAATAATATGGGTTATGGTGATTTTAATTTTGCAAGATCAAGATCAAGACTTATTTTTTTAGTTTAACAATGAGTAAAATGATCTTTGTTTACATGGAAAAGACCTGACACGTGAATGAATCAACTGAACATGGAATTAAAATATGTTGAACAGTTCAGGTATATGATAGATAGATTATGTAACATTTGATATAATCATAGATCGAAGTAGTCAGCGTGATAGAGAGCTTCCTGTATAGGGATATTTGATTCGTTGTCTCCTGCTGACCCTGGGGCTTGTGCTGGTCCGGGAGCTGGAATACCCATAAACATTGAGGCCATTTGCATCTGCATCTGTGCCTGCATTTGAGATAGTTGTATTTGAAACTGTCGCTCACTCTCCATCCGCCTTTGTTCGGCTTCGTCCTCCAGCCTCCTTCTCTTCTCTTCTTGCTCAAACTGGTACTTGGTCTGCCTCTCCTCCATGTCAACAAGGGCATGTACGAAGTCATCTATAATTTTAATTATACAATTTCAGAATGAATTTTTTTAGGAGGGATAATATACAAAACAAGAAATTTGATATATGGCTTAATATATATTGTGGACCTAAATTAATTATTTATTAATGATGCAATTATGAGATTTCTAATATTATGAAGAAAATAAATTAACAATTTACTCTATATGAACATTGTTAAGTTGTTTTCATAATTAATGGGGGAGGGAGACTTACTAAGACTTTCATCCATTGTTCTCTTTCTTGTTTTTTCCTTCGAAAATTTGTTCTCCTTGATTTCCGACCTTGAATGCTCTATAGTGTCATAAAACATAATAAATCTGAATATAAGGTTATAAATAAGATTTCATTTGAGAAAATGCTATCTCGCAGTATTCAGTTTTGTCAGTTAATTCATTTTTCAAACGGTTTCACCCCCACCCCCATCCCAGACAATTTCCAGAAATATTATAAAAAATTTCTTTTATGATTTCAAGTAATAAATTGTTTATCATACACATTGTACAAGTGTACAAAATTTTATATTTGAATAACAAATCCAAATGACTTATAGTAGTGTATAGACATGCATATGAACATACAGGAACCGGAAAATGTGCTTTTTTTTTTTTTTTTTTTTTTTTTTGCAAATAACGTATTTTCTTGGTCTACCACCCCTTTCATTGTGCTTTCGACATTTATGTATGGTAAAATTGTCTTAATTGCTGATAGATATATGTACTATTTGAACTTCATCAAAGTTTGATCTGCTGGTGACATCAAATAATTATACCTCCCTTCTCTCCGTCTCTCTTTCCATTGTCTTTGTCGTTCTCCACTTTGACGGTGGCTTCCTCTGCGCTGACCTTCTTCTGGTCTTGAAAATACATGTACATAAATAATTTATTTTTAAATTTACTATTTAAAACAAATTGTGAAAAATGAATTCAGATAAACTTGCTACTCACCATTATTTGTATCGACTGTAGTGTCGACAAGAAAGGATGGCTCTGTCAGAGGCTTCGAACCAAGGAATTCGTCCAGCTTGTCAAAATAGACAAAACGACTTCTGGACTGACCTGATGTATTATTATGGAGCTTAGCCTTTAAGTATGCCTGCCTTAGACCTTTAATTTTGGTTCTACAGGATTCCCAGGACCTGTCAATTCCTTTCCCTCTCAGAGCTAAAAAAAAATTAGTTATCCTGATATACTTACACCCAAATAGTTTAATCGTTGCCTATAATATATTGCTTTTTACATTAATATTTACAATGAAAAATCTAACGGTTCCTATTATATTGTCACTTGCATATTTAAGGGGGTGATGGGGGTGGGGTGCCCCCCCCCCCCACCCTCTTGACATTAATAATATTAATAATGGCATACTTTGGAACAATACTTTGGCATTCGCCCTCTGGACCACCTTCATTCAAACTATGATATTACTAGCATTAATGATGTCATGATTTGGTACATAGGTAACAAATACCAATACCACTATTATATATTGTGCCTTGTTTTGCTCTTAAAATTCACGAAAACTCAGGGGCTTCCATGTGTACAAACTGCACTACTAAATATTCAATATCTCATCGGTATAAACATGAAACATTTTGATTTTGGAAGGGGGTATATTCTACACGTACTATTGAATTAAATGATAGAATATTTATAATATATATAAATTTATGTTTCAAGTTAATTAATATAAACAAATTTAATATGTATACTTACCAATGGCAATTTTTTCATAGACATGCTTGTTTCTGTAAACTCCTGAAAAATCGTTTGAAATTTCTTCCGACGCCCAACTTTCAATGAGCTCAATAATTTCTTCATTATTCCAGTTTACTCCTCGAGTCTCCTTCGCCATTATTATGCCAAGTGCACTTTATGACGTAATTTTTGTGCATATTGCGCAAAATAATATTTTTGACGTCATATGGCTCCAAAATTCACGACATAAATATTATCAATAAAAACAATTTTATCCATGGTAGATTCTCTGTGGATCTTATAAGCAAATTATCGGAGGTAATTTTTCTTTAAAAGAGGGGGGGGGGGCTTCTGTGTCTGATTTAATACGAAGTAAAAACCTTTTAATACAGCATTAATTTATGTCAAGACATAATAGAGGGTATAGACACAATATCCCTTTCTACCTGATGACAATACTGTTTTGTCTCAATTTTATTTTTATTTTTATTAAAATAATTAAATAGTCCTATATATATGTGCATGGAATAAACCTTTGAAGAGAAAAGGTGCAGAAAATATAAGGTAGACTGAGGTATACATGTAGCCTACATATTGAAAAAATACATTAAATCATTGCACATTTTGGAGTGGATCGCATGATTTTTCTTCATTTTTTACCCAGAAAATGTATAAGTACCCATATCTGACCACTGGCAGGTGATATTTGACCCATTTCTACCTTTACGCATGCGTCAGAATTTAATGCGAATTAGCTTCGCTTAGCGTTCACACGGAGCTAATGCGAAGTAATTTAATGCGCAGTAAACTAATGCGAAGTAAACTAATTCGCATTAAATTCTCCGTGTGAACGCTAAGCGAAGCTAATTCGCAGTAAACTTACGTTTAATTCGAATTAAACTCTCCGTGTGAACAGGGCATTACTCTAAAGTGTTGATTCGCAATATCCGTGTTTCTACAGAAGGATATGGAAATAACGAACAGTATTCAATTTCAACGTCCATTAAACAAATATACAAAATAAGAGCAGAGCAAACACGGACCTCCGAAACATCAGAGGTGGGATCAGGTGCCATGGAGGAAAGAGCATCCCCTGCCGACCGGTCACAGCCGCCGTGTGCTCCTTGTAAAAATCGGGAAATAACGGAAAAATCCGTGGTCAACTCAGTGTATAAATAATGGACTTACAATTGGTATGAAAAACGTCAGTCAGCATTTCATTCAATGATAAATTGTATTTGCTGACAAGGTCATTGTATCGACCATAGAATTTACGAAATGATGACTTTAAACGAGACTGTTGATATTCTTGTTTCATCAACTTGCTTGTCAATAATTTACCTCGTTTAAGAAATTGTTCATACGTAGAGCACGCTCTTGCGTATCGAATCAACTGAGATATAAATACTCCGTATGCAGGTGATGAAGGTATATTGCTGCATATGTAAGGGAAGTTTGCGATAGAAAAGTTAAAGTAATCACGTTTATCATATAGCTTGGTTGTTAGATTACCATTAGTGTCTTTTTCAAGTAAAATATCCAAGTATGAAGCAGAAGTGTCGGACTCTGTGGTATCTTTTATCTCAAGCTCACCAGGATATATCGTGTCGACGTAGGAATGGAAATTATCATTATTAATTGACAATACGCCGTCGATATATCTAAATGTCGAGTTGAAGGCCACAGCAAGTGTTTTCTTCTTTTCACGCAAAAGATTTTGCATAAATTCTGCTTCATATGAATATAAAAATAAGTCTGCTAATAACGGGGCGCAATTGGTACCCATGGGAATTCCAATAGATTGTTGGAATACCTCGTCTCCAAAAACCACATAGATATTGTCAATCAGAAACTCAAGCATCTTCTTGATGTCAACTTCAGAGTACTTATGTGTGCAATCAGAATCTGTTTTAACAAAATAATTTTTCAAACGACCAATGACGAGGTAAGTAAAATTACGAGTCCCATTTTTGTTGAAGAAGCAGCTGTCAATGATATCAAAAAGCCTGGATTTTAATTTGTCGTGGGGAATTGTTGTGTAATAACATGAAGCAAAAATAGAAAGAGAAGTTAAAGTTGTTGTTTTCTTTAAAAGAATCCACAGATCTTTAGGTCTTATAAAAAAAAAAACAATGATGATGAAATTAAGAGCAATTGGAAAAAAACACAGATCAGATCAGAACTGAAAGTAAACTGGGGGGGGGAGACTTGAATTTTACACCCCCATGGGGGTCATGATTTGAACAAACTTGAATCTACACTACCTGAGGATGATTTCCTATAAATATAACGAAGCCTGGCTTTAAAGTACTTGAAAAGAAGATTTCAAAAGGTTTCCCTATATGTTCCTATGTAAAACTTTGATCCGACATTTTGGCCCCACCCTACCCCCCGGGGGTCATGATTTGAACAAACTTGAATTTACACAACCTGAGGATGATTCCAAATGAGTTTAATCTTTCCTAGCCCAGTGGTACTTGAGAAGAAGATATTAAAGATTTTTCCCATATATTCCTATGTAAAACTTTGATCCGCCATTTTGGCCCCACCCTACCCCCGGGGGTCATGGTTTGAACAAACTTGAATCTACACTACCTGAGGATGATCCCAAATGAGTTTAATCTTTTCTGGCCCAGTGGTTATTGAGATGAAGATTTTTAAAGAATTTTCCAATATATTCTTTTGTAAAACTTTGATCCGCCATTTTGGCATGACCCTACCCCTGGGGGTCATGATTTGAACAAACATGAATCTACACTACCCGAGGATGATTCCACATGAGTTTCATCTTTCCTAGCCCAGTGGTTCTTGAGAATAAGATTTTTTAAAAATGTCATTAATTTCTTTCTAATTCATAATTATCTCCCCTTGGAAAAAGGCCTGGCCCTTCATTTAAACAAACTTTAATCCCCTTCACCCAAGGATACTTTGTAGCAAGTTTGTTTGAAATTGGCCCGGTGGTTCTTGAGAAGAAGATGAAAATGTGAAAAATTTACAACGACAACAACGACAACGACGACAGACAACGGACAAATTTTGATCAGAAAAGCTCACTTGAGCCTTCGGCTCAGGTGAGCTAAAAAAGGCATATCATATAATATTTTGTGTAAGAAATTTTTTCTCGTTCTCTCTCTCTCATGTTTAAGTACCACCTTCACATATTTGTTACCTTTTAATGATCTTGTTTCCTCACAGAGTTCAAATATTTCCTCATGCACCTCCAATCCCTCAGTGGATTTTATTTTCTTGATCTCTTCTTCACTACAACCAAGAAGACGTTTAAGTAGCGTGGTTTTCCCCGCCCCAGCACATCCTACAATCATCCCCCGGGCGTGGTGGACTGTCTGCGTTCCTCTCTTAGCGTACTCCACATACCGCTCTCTGGCCTCCTGGTCCCATTGTAGTACTTCTATAGGGACTCCCACTGTATCACGTAAAAGAAGAAATTTTTGACAAGGTGAAAAATTTATGTTTTTAAACTTCAGTTTAAAGAGTGGAACATAGTTAAAATAACGTAGGTGCCTCTCCCAGCTTTATTATTATTATTTTAGGGAGTGTGGGGCTTCAATGTCTCTGTAATTTGTACAAGAGCGGAGGTGATTCATGCCGGTTCAAAAATCTCAATAATTGCTATTTTGTTTGTACATTGTATTTCTTACCTAAATTTTTGTGTATGTGATCATCACAAATTAAATCATTTCGCCATGTTTATTGAACTTGATTTATTTTATTTTGGAACTTCTAATGAGTTAATGAAAAAATATCACACAGCAAGAAATATAAGTGTCGCAAAAAGACAGAACGTGACAAAACGCTAGGGAGTATGTCACGTGACTGCTAATATCACATGATCCGCGCATTGGCAGAATGGCTGCAGATGCGCATCAAAATCGGAAAGGACTACACTTAAACATTTACAAAATTGAAACCCTATATTATTTCTTTTTGGAAGTTATTCAATTAGTTCGAGAACTTTTTGATCACCCCTCGTAGTATGTTCAGATAAATTAATATTGCTGGAAAAGAAGTTGGAACCCACCCACGTACACAAGAAAAAAGATTTTCTTGACATATTATTCCCCCCCCCCCCTTATAATTCTACATTTTTAAGAAAAGTAATATAATCTGTTTGATGAATTAGAAATAAGCTATTAAGGTCAAGATCTAGTAAATGAAAGGTGCCTACAGATTTATCAAACTTGAGAAATAAATTCCTTTATTGATGCTTTACAACTTTAGCTTGATCAAATAAGGTGTTTCGGGGCATAATTTGCAGATAAACAAGATGAAAAACTGTATTTTAAACTGTCATTTTCAATGAAAAAATAAGAAATCCAGGCATGAATATGGAAGTTTTTCTCATATTCGACAAAGGAAATGTATCCAGATTGCCTACAGTCTCTCAGAAAACGGTAATTAGTATGTTCATGGCCTCTTCTTTAAATCAATATCAAATTTAATATAGGTATCCGGTTTACTTTTCATATGATTTCAAATTGAATGAAATGAAAATACCCTATTTTCTGCATAATTCTGCTAAAGTCCTAAAGCACGGGAAAAAGAAAGTTGAAATTGATTATGACGTCATAATGGATCTAGCACCAAAAAAGTAGTCTCAAGCTATTTACTAGATCTTGACCTTAAGCTTTTATGTGTTGGTTAGTGATGTTCATATTGTTGCAATTGTCAATAATTAATAAAGAAAATAAATAAAATTTTCCCCGGAATAAATTCCCATACACCACGTGTATAGTAGCTTACGGGATTTTGGTTTGGTTTCTTATTCAGGCATGCCTTCTAGTTTTACTATTATATAAAATCACCTATATGTTTTTGTGGTGTCTGTATACTATTCTCAAATGGTGAAGAGGTTCAAATTAATGGTCGATTGCGAACTACAAATGTATAAGGATATGTGTAACCTTGGTTAAAATATTTATTGTAGCTTGAGGTGGAAAGGTGATTTTGTAATCTAATAATTGTATTTTTCCATCATTCTATTTCATTAATTATTTTTTTTTATGTGCGTACACATTGCTCTCCTGTAAATTATCCAATTCTGTACTGTAACTGATAGCATCATTTTGAATATATTTATAAGCTGTAAACCTAAAAGTAACAATAATGAAGACGTGGGGTGGCTTGTTTTTAATTACATAGCTGCCGCCCCCCCCCCCCTTCCTCCTCCACACACACATAATTTTTTAGCATTCAGTGCTCTAGACACTACATGCCTTCGGCGTTTATGCAAATTATCATGCAAGTTACTCGTTTTATTACATCATGAAACCAAAAACATAAGTATGAGACAGTTATTCCTTAAATAGTATAAACTCCTAATTATATTTGAACAGAATATTTTTATAGACGCACAGAGGCTATCGATAATTCATTATAATGCTAATTAAGTTCACGTACAAAAGGATGTATCAATTTTATTATAACAATCGAAAGTCATACATGAAGAATATAAATATGTGTTCATTTTAAATGTGTGAATGGAATCCTTGAAAACTTGTAAGAAAATTGCTGTAAGAATTTATGCTTACACTTTTTACTGATCCTGACATGAATCCCCCAGTCAGACACGGTACAGTGTGTGATGATGTCCAGCTGTAGTTTGTCCATGAAGAGGTCGTACATCTTCTCTGGTCTGTCCGGTACATACAGACATCTCTCTCCCTCACTACTCTTATACTCCCAGGACCGGCAGTATTCTGATATCACGTCACGTGACGCCATGGTCAGGAAAAACTCCAGATCACTGTCCTCCACCAGACACTCCGTAACAAAGGCGTACATGACGTCATGTCGGATGTCGACTATAAAGGTTATTACACCGTCACGTGTTTCTGTGATTTCTTCAGGAAGTTTTACCGAGCCGTCATCAGTAATATCAGGGAAATACCTCTGTCTGATTTTGTCCCTTATGATCCTGTGTGATTGTCCATTAATATTCAACTGATATTTCTCAGTTAACAGTAAGCAGTACAGTAGACATCGGACATTTGATGAATACTTATGGTGTTCACCTGAAAGTATGACATTTCAACACTAAAAGATTTAAAGTAGAGATGTCAAAATATTAATTTTCCTTAATTGAACATTCAATTACATTATTGTTCGAACGATAGTCAACTATTCACTTTTTCTGAAAATAAAATTGCATTGTTAAATAGCGTATTTATAACTTAAAAACTCTTTCAGGACAATTTATATAAAAATTTACATTAAATTCCTATATTACACACAGATATTCAGAGGAACCAAATGTAGGGATATGATGTTGAAATAAAATTAATTTACACCGGCAATTCTAATTAAAAAAGTCTGAATTCTCGTAAATCGCATTCATTAATAATTTTTTTGTTAAATCAGTTTTTATTATAGAAAGCTTAGAAAAATTTTAATAATTAATTAATAATATTAAAATAAATTGAGGAAGGGGGAGGGGTAAACACATAATCTACACATCAGACAGGTTATAAATGTATAATTGGTATTTGGTTTGTGATCAAGTTACATGTAAATTAATTTTACAAAAAAGTCCAGTATTAAAGCGTTTCATATTTCATCACGAAAGCAAAATGGTCAGTAATTGAGATATAATTATCGCAGTAAACTTGCATTAGTAATTACTGTATCTTCCATTTGTACCTTGAAAGTGATCTGAAGATATTTTATTATGGAAAATTATATATACATTGTATACAGTTACAAGCATGTGCTTGAGCTCTTAATCGTCTGAGGACGTATACTACCGGTATTTTTGTTTGAGGAAGGACGCTTTTCAAATTTGAGATGAGAATTCCTTGAGTTCCTTTTATCGCCTCCCCCTTTTTTTAATAATCTAATGTCCTTTCAATATTGGATCGTCGGTCCTTTCGACTGATAGTCGAATAGTCAACTATTCGTTGACATCCATAATTTAAAGTCATACATATGATAAGCAAACATTTAATTACAATTTTATCTTTTTTTCCCCTTCCGAACCATCAATATCTTTTTTTTTCAATTCTTTCATTAAAATGGCATTAGACTCAATCTCTTGTCATTTGTACTAATAACTGAACACAAAACTTGTTAGTTGCGGATGATTTGTGTAAATCGGGGAAAGTAGGTTAGAAAATTTACATAAAGAGAATAAAGAATCCTTCAACCCATCACCTCTCTAGCCATGAGATAAAAAAATTCCTCGCAAAGTTGTCAGGAAAATATAACGGACGATTAAATTAAAACTTTTTTTTGGTTTTATATTCTATATTCTAAATGTTCGTATTATATGTACTTAGTATAGCATGACCCTTAGATGGTTTATGGCACCTGATGTTTCGGAGGTCCGTGTTTGCTCTGGCTAAGATGGTTTATCAAAATTCCAAATCGATACACAGAAACATTACAGAATGATTCGAATCCGTATTAGGAGTGCCTTCATTACATTGACCACTCTCCTCCAATCTCTTCGTGTATGAAATTGACGCTAGCGAAAAAACTTCACCAAATTTATGTGAAAGTATTTAATACACTTGCATGTAATTAGGGGTGACTTTGAAAATATTCATCTCATGGAACCATTGTCAATTGTGGCACAATTTTAAGTAATAGTAATACATACTGCTTCAGTGCTTCCAGAGAAGAAGTTCAGAAGCTTCCAATTGTTAAGAGTAGACGGCGGATGAAATAAAATCTAAAGGCAAAAGGTCCGACTCAGAACTCCTCGGGATGCAGTGAATACAGCTCGAGGGGGTACGAAAGCTAATGTTTAACAAATTATTGTTTCTACCAAAATTCATAATTCATGTATTTCAGATCAAATTCTTAAATGTCATTCTCAATAAGGATATTATTTTTTGTTTCGTTACATATCTCAGAAGGCTCATTCGAGATTCGAAATACGAGATTCGAAATTCGAGTTTCGAGATTCAAGATTCCAAACTAACCAATCAAAAGGCTGTTTGAGATTCAATTACTCCCCTTTATTATTTTTTACTATTAAAAAATCGTTGAGTATTTTAATACCGCGGAAGTCTTTTGATTAAATTACAACGCAAGAAAAAGTTATATATATTATCAAAACGAAATTCACAGAAATATTGGATTTTGGTCTGTAAGATTTGCTTAATTAATTTATAATAAAAGCTTCTTAAATGTCATATGAGATTTATAGAAAGAATATATATATTTCGTATTATCTACTTTGTATATAAGGTTGTTGGTTGTTGACATAATAGTAAGCTTAAATTAACAGTACATGCATCCCCCTTTTTCCTTTTTACTATTGAAAATGTTCACCGAAAGGTCGGTTGCCACGCCCCCCCCCCCCCCCCCCCCGCCCCGTTTTAGTGCAGTGGGACAGTATAGTCAAAGAAGTTTAAATAATATTGTATTAAAAGAGATAAGGTACTAAATGAAGTTCGCACCCCCCACCGCCTCTTTCACGTCCCGAAATAGGAATTTCGTGTTTGGACACATTTTTATGCCCCCGTAAAAGAAGTTTCGGGGGTACATAGTTTTTGACGTGTCCGTCCGTCTGTCTGTCTGTCTCTCTGTTTGTCTGTTTGTCCGCAAAAACTTTAACCTTGCCCATAACTTTTGATTTAGTGGAGCTTTGATTTTCATATGTCATAAGTGTATTTCTTTTGACAAGACCTTTCCTTGGGTACCACCAAATTTGACCTTTTGACCTTGACCTTGGAGTTTGACCCACTTTTACATGAAAATTTTAAACTTTTACTTTGGTCATATCTTTTGAACAGTAGACACCAGGACATTTATACTTCACATATGTAATGTTTGTTAAAAGACCTTTCACCGGATACCAAAAACGTTGTCCCTTTGACCTTGACCATGTAAATTTCCGTACTGGTGAAAAAACTTTAACCTTGGCCATAACTTTTGAACGGTAAGGGATAGGGCTTTCATACTTCATATATGTAATCCTTCTGAGAAGACCCTTTAATGGATACCAAGAACTTTGACCCTTTGACCTTGACCTTTGAGATTGACCTACTTTGATACTTATGACCTTTAATTTGATAACAATAACTTTGACCCTTTGACTTTGACCTTAGTGTTTGACCTATTTATTAAGAAATTGAACGTTGACAATAACTTCTGAACGGTTAGGTCTAGGGGTTTCATGCTCTACATAAGTATTTTTTGTGGCAAGACCTTTCATTTGATACTAATTACATTGACCTTTAGACCTTGACCTTGGAGATTTTTGTACTTATTAATAAACTTAACATTAGCTTACTTTCAAATTTCACAATTGTTTTCCAATAAAAATACCCTACTTTTGGTACCAATTAATTAAATTTGCATTTAAGAAAAGCTTAATCTCTGCTTTGTTGCCATACGGGGGCATAAGTGTTTTACAAACACATCTTGTTCTCTCAGTTTCTGTCAGATTTGAAATAATTTTTTTTCTGGCTCCCCTCACTTTCAAAATCGCTGCTTCGTCTCTGTAATAATTAGTACTACGGATTTCAAGGTTTTTCTGCCCCCCCCCCCCCCCCCCACTTTCAAAATCGATGCCTCGTCTCTGTAATAATTAGTACTACGGATTTCAAGGTTTTTCTGCACCCCCCCCCCCACCCCACTTTAAAAATCGATGCCTCGTCTCTCTAATAATTAGTACTACGGATTTCTAGGTGGGTTTGTGACACAGTATTGGAAAGTGGCAAGTGACCAAGTTTATGAAACCAATAGACAGCCCCTTAAATACAGATGGCTGTCCAAACGGAACAAAATAGCCCCGGCTGGGTTTTTCAGAGGTAAGTTTTTTCATAATAAAGATATGCATCAAACATGAATCATAGAATTTTTCTTCCAGTGACCTTGAACTTCCCCCAATGACCTTAGGTCAAGGTCATGACACACCTTTGGGTGATGGGCAATCTTTGTGTGAAATGAGAACCTACCAAGATTATCTATAAGAAGATATGGACCAGACACGAATTATGAAATTTTTCTTCCAGTGACCTTGAACTTCCCCAAATGACCATGGGTCAAAGTCATGACACACCCTTGCGTGATGGGCAATCTTTGTGTGAAATGTGAACTTACAAGTTTATCCACAAGAAAGATATGGACTGGACACGAATTATGAAATTTTTCTTCCAGTGACATTGAACTTCCCCAAATGACCTTGGGTCAAGGTCTTCATACACCCTTGGGTCCTAGGCAATCTTTGTGTGGAGTAGTAGGTTCTAGTGTTCCTCTGTAAGAAAGATATGGACAGGACATGTTTGCACAGACAGACGGACAGCTAGACAGTTAGACGGACGGACAGACGTACAGCTAGACAAACGGACAGACGGACAAGGTGATTTGTTTGTGGAGGGTATAATAATGACCCATTGGGAATAATTTGAAAAAAAAACATGTAAATCCCCCTATCTCCACCCCAACCCCGAAAAATAGGGGTTATCATGGTTATTGGACGTTATTTTTGAATGGACATAAGCATAAAGTTATTGTTTTCTACAGTACATTATATCGAGAAAATATTATGGGAATGGCCAAACGGGAGGGTGGGGGGACAAATGTGTGGTTATCGGTATTCAATGTCAATCTTGCGATGCATGGATATAATATATATACACATTGTATATTCGAAAATTATTCAAAAGGAAACCGCTCGGGTCTCGCAAGATACGTAACCAATCAATACACAAAATCATACATCTTCAATATTTACATCATCGAGTTCATGATCTTTATTTTCATCTAGATTTTTGTAAAAAATTTTAACTTTTTCCAAGATCTCTTGTTGTTAGTTTACATATTTGCCATCATTATTAATCGAGTTGTTGATATTCTTATTGACGTTATTTCGTTTTTCTAGGGCACAAAAATATGTTGACGGTTTCCTAATTGATGAAATACATAAAAATCTAATTTTCAATTCCTTATCTTGTTTTAAGGCTTTAATAACTTGAGTTAATTAAAAATCATAGAAACAATACAGACTAGAATTTATTTTATTTTATATCAAATAGTATAGATGAGTCTAGCTAAGCTGTAGAAC